CCCCTTTCTAACCATGGTAAGTCCAATGGAAACATACACCCCTTTCTAACCATGGTAAGTCCAATGGAAACATATACCCCTTTCTAACCATGGTAAGTCTAATGGAAATTCACACCCCTTTCTAACCATGGTAAGTCTAATGGAAATTCACACCCCTTTCCATTCATGATAAGTTTGATAGAAATTGTTATTCCTCTCTATACATAGTAAGTCTGGTGGAAATCTCCATTCCTTTCTATCCGTATGGTAGTCTCATGGAGATTCCAAGTTCAATGGAGATTTGATCGCTTCCTTTTCCATCCATCCATGGTCAGTCCAATGAAAATTCCCACCTCTTTCCATCCATAAGTCTGATAGGAATTTCTATTCCTCTCTATCCATATATGGTAAGTCTGATTGAGAGTCTCTTTCCATCCTTGGTAAGTCAAGACGAAGTTGTTATTCTGAATTGATGTATGAAAGGCAAGTAAGTTCTGACTTTACAGTTCTTTGTGACTTCATGGTCGGGATTTCTGCACAACTTTTGTGTTTCACCTAGAAACTATTTATTATAACCACATTCTCCAAAATGTTGACCATTAAAATAATTTTGACCTTACAATTTATAGGTATTGAAGGTGCCTTTGATGGTACTGGTGCTAAAACAGTCATTCCTCGTAAAGTGATTGGCAAGTTTTCTATTCGACTGGTGCCTGATCAGAAACCAGATGAGATAGAGAAGCATGTTACTGAATATTTGAAGAAAGTTCATGCTGAACGAGAAACGCCAACCAAAATCAAGTACGTTTAATTATCAGTATCTCCAGTGACAATCACATGGCTTCAATATGAAATGCTCTTTGGGTTGGTTGAAATAAGCAATGCAGGAAACAAATGGAGTTATGTTTTCTATTCTGTGTATTTTGTTTCAGCTAAAGAAATATGATGTGAATTACATTTTTGTTTCAAGCTGGTTGGCTGTTTCTGTGATGCAAATGCCTTATCTGAGTACCTTTTCCCATGATACAATGCACTACCCAGAGTGAAACATTCCATTAAACTTTGCAAATGTTTGAGATACAGAGAATGTTGTGGTGATATCTATCAGTGAATTCACTATAAAATTACAATTAAGTTTTAATTTCTCACAGTGTCAGCATGGGACATGGTGGCAAACCTTGGGTTAGTGACTTTGATCATCCACACTACTTGGCTGGACGCAAAGCAATGAAAACAGGTATTGTGTATGTGTGTGGTTTGTTAAAAGAGCATACAGTGCTGGGCATGTACTTTATTATGTGCATGTTTACAACCAAGATCATATTGAAATTTAGTCTAGACCCAAAAGAAAAAGAAGTTTTCTTTCAGATCAATTTGTGTTCCAAAATTGATGCGATACATTGTGTTTTGTTATTTTAAAATTGTCAGTGAAATCATGCTTTTCTTTGATTAAAACTAATTTTTTGTTCAATTTTGTCCATAATTCTGATGAAATACTACAAACAGCTGTGACAGAGATATTTTTAACTGACATGTGTGATGATAACAATAAGGTAAAATTGTCCCTCTTTACTAAAAATGACAAAAATAATCATCAAGATATCTGCTTGAAATGAACAAATCTGAGAGAAGTCTACCCAACGTATAAATATGCCAAGTTTCAAACCAATCAGACTTTTTTGGAGGAGTTGAAAATGTAACAAGCAACCTAACAGTTGAAATACTAGTAGCTCCCCTGTCTTTGTAGAGTGTCTTCCTCAAAATAAAGTTGATAATGTTCTGTATGATGAGATATTAACTATTTGACATGGTTATTAGTATCCCACAATATCATTACCATGGTACATGTAGTTTTTTTGGTTGTTGCCATGACAATTACAATTGTTATTTTCCTGTGAAAATTGTACTAAAAGTGTTGTTTACTGCATCACAGGTTATCATTTCTTCATAATTTTTGTACTTTATGCATTCTATGTTAATTTCTATCACTCATTTTATTTAGCCTTATTGTTGATTTATCAATCTAAAAAGACAAGGTAAAATAAAATACAGTACTGTATATTAGGCTAATTAACATTAGTTAATTTAATCAACTCTTACCGGATTGTTAATTTTGTTTCATTAGTGTTTGGCGTTGAACCTGATTTAACCCGTGAAGGTGGCAGCATTCCAATCACCTTGACGTTCCAAGATGTAACTGGTAAAAATGTAATGCTATTGCCAGTCGGTTCTTGTGATGATGGTGCTCATTCTCAAAATGAGAAACTGAATCGTAGCAACTACATACAGGGAGTAAGTAAGATTTATTGATTGTACATGATCAGATCAAGCAGCTATTTAATGAAAATTGAATTTGTGTCATTCAATTGAAACCACATTTAACAAACTGATCACCAATCCTGAGTTCAAATCCCACCTTGGGATAATTTGCCAAAATAAGGTCTATACCCATGCCTTGGGTGAGTTTGCCACAGCCACTGTATCTTCTACAAATCTGAGAAGAAAGAAAATACCAAACTTTCACAGCCAAATGATTTCGCTAACACAGTTTGACTGCATTTGTCATCTTTGTATAGAAAAATCCATTGCATACCAACACCGTATTACACATACCTGCTATGGAACACTTTCCCTGGATATTTTCTTTTTCAACTATAAGGCTTATTATATGTTGAACAGTATCTATCAGCAATAAAGACTCTCACCTAGCGCAAACAAATTATGAAAACTAAAATATTTTTAAATATTTGATGCCCTTTGTCAAGTAATTGCTTTGTAATATTTAATTCTTTAATTTACTTCACAGACCAAGATGATGGGTGCATACTTTGAAGAAGTTGCTCTTCTTGATTAGAGACTACCGTGGACACAGAGAAACTGACATTCCATGTATTCAGAAACTCCTCAAGATGCAAAATTTACACTTTCATGAGAAAGAAATTATCTTGTCATCAAGTCCAGTAAACAAAGTCTTCCATTTTTATTGAAATAATTGCAGGTGACATTACCGAATAACTAATTTCATAAATAAAAATGTTTTGATCAAAAATGCTGAAAATTGCTAATATTTTGCTGAGTGAAGGATTATATTAAGTGAAAGACAAAATGCAAATAAAAAGATGGGGTACCAAAGTTTGTTTCCATGGAAACACTTTATGATTTTCTCAAGTCCTATGCAGGCTCAAAATTCACCCAGCCAGTTAAAAACTAGTTCAGATAATTCAGGTATTTGTTTAAACTGTCAAATATATTAATTACTGTGAATAATTGTGTGACAGTGTTAAATAGTCACATGATATACTGTTACATTGTACTGCTTTAACTTTATTCCAGATCTGCAATAAAACGAATGTTATAAATAGTAGTCGTATTTTTTTCAGTGTTTTATCTGTGTATGGTTCCTTTTATCAGGCATAGCGCTCTATATTGGAGTCTGCACAGTACCTCTATCAGGGACTGTGCGCAAAGAAACACTTGTTGTGTTGCCATTGTAAAAAAAATGGTATATTGATTTACCATGTCATGTGACACATTAAATAAAATTATGGACAGAGGTAAGAAAAATCTGTTTGAGATGGTAATGCTACAATGATATGTGAACAATCTTGCTCTGTACATGGTTACTAAAAATTAAGTTTGTTGAAGAATCTGAGATGTGTGCATGTTGTTTTTTTCTGTTAATCGTGCTAAATACAAAGCATTGGTTAATTGTTTCAAGGAATAACAGCAATGTCACATTTAGAATATCTATATTCAGTGTATGATTAGTTTAAAACATAACTTTTCAATAAAATAGGAGGGTGAATAAATGGTGAAAGCTAGGTTACCGTGAAACCCCCGGGGGGGGATCACTCTATATGCTGTTACTACCCCATGTGCGTTCCAAATTTAGCAGGAAAGCAGGGTGTTTTTCACTTTCTAAAGCGGGCCCGCGCGGGAGATAAATAGGCCCCCTTTAAACTGCTAATGTCTGCAACAGGCCCCCAGAAATAAACTCGCAGGGTTGCTGCGCCCGCTGTAGGCCCCTCTTGCAACAACCACTCCCATACACGGCCCTAGGCCCCAAATTGGCGGACCCATAGCCCCGACCAGGCCGCAAACGTCCGCCTGAACTTTCCC